AATATGCAAATACCCCTTTTTATTGTGCACTGCCACACAAGGGCAGGCATGGGTTCATAAGTAATACAGCTTAAAAATATTATAAATAAAACTGTTCTTCATTCTTTAAATGGAAAAGCAAATTTTGGATAAATTGTTTGTATGTCGTCCAGTACACCAGATTTAATGAAATAGTTACACAGTTGGTGGGACAATAGGCCAGGAGGTCTAAAGTCTTTTACGGTTTCACATTCAACAATATAGTGTTCTAGTGAATGCATCAAAGGTTTATCACAGTTTACTATCTGAATATTCTGGTAGTGGCTCAGCCTCACTAACCTGCCAGATGTGCATGTAGCTAAATCGAATTCGCGCAATGACTACATCACATTGCCTGGTCCGGTTACTGTGCTGACCATACAAATACCTATTATTACAAAAGTTGTCATAGCTTTTAATACTACAACTTTCAGGTATCTGAGCAATTTTTAGTTCTTCTAAATCTGAAGTAATTTCTTTAATTTGTATGTTTCTAATAATTGCATTAGATAGTCTAAAGTCATAATCAATGTTTTCTTTCGTGCAAGCCTCATTGGCCAATCGATCTAGAAACTCATGTTTTCCAACTACAACATGAGATGGGAGCCACACAAATTTTATATAGTAGTTATTATCATTGGCAAAAATTACATTCCATTTAATATTACAAACTATTTCAGACAAATTGTGATGGGTTATTTAAGGACTGCAGAGCACTTTAGTCACACAATATCACTCCACCTCCATCAACCAACCAAGCTACGAACGCAAGCCACGGTACCATATTCAAACATTTTTACCCTCTCTTTCTTTTTCTTAACCTCAGCAAGCCACCCCTCTTCAGCACCCTCGCTAAGCCACAATCCATTCTGTCATCCCACTCACTCCCTCACCCCTATCCTTACTCCCCCACACGTGTTCTCTTCTTCATTCCCTTTATCCCACTTTCCCTCTATGAACCTCTCTAGCCTCGCCCCAACCCCCACCTTGACCACTGACATACACTCTCCCGGCTACTCTCACATTCACCCTGTATCATAAAAAGGAGCCATAGCATGACCAGGTGAACAAATCCACAAGGGCCGTGACGAGGATTCGAACCTGCGTCCGGGAGCATCCCAGACACTGCCTTAATCGACTGAGCTACGACAGTCGTTGAAACTGAAGTGATCTCTGTGTGTGATGTCCAGGTGTTATGGTTGAAGAAATCATGGCATGTAATTATATTGGTGTATCTTGGAAGCCATAGCGTATGGTGAGAGGCGCCAAGACATAGCGAGCTGTATCCCAGAGGACGGAGTCGTCCATGCCTCGTAGTGTGGCAGTGAGTAATGAAAGTGTCTGCAATAATTGGGAATCGTGCAACCACACCACAAGCCATTTGTCTATCATAGGGTCCATGGCAGTGGTGAGGGCGGCGCCTTGTCCTCCGCTACAATAATTATATATTAGTTCTTCTACTGGGAAAACCCGCTGCTTCATTGTAGGAGTACCATGTGGCTTCGGTTGTGATGTGACGCACAGCTACACCTGGCAGGTGCACACACCTCAGCTACACCTGGCAGGTGCACACACCTCAGCTACACCTGGCAGGTGCACACACCTCAGCTACACCTGGCAGGTGCACACACCTCAAACGTCAAGAAACTGTCGTACTAAAGTGGCTTATCCTAACCTACCACAGGACCCACGAATAGAAAACGGGACATTATGTCAATTTCGCGAGCCGCTACCATTTTCTTGTACATCAATTTGTGGCCTAGGTGAAGTGTACGTCAAAATGCGTCGTGCTATAACAAGAACGGTTTTATCCAAAAGCGAATACTGCCCAACCACTTGGACTAGACGGTAGACCGACGGTCTCGCTTCATGCAGGTCGGCGTTCAATCCCCGACTGTCCAAGTGGTTGGGCACCATTCCTTCCCCCCGTCCCATCCCAAATCCTTATCCTGATCCCTTCCCAGTGCTATATAGTCGTATTGGCTTGGTGCTTTCTCCTGACAATGCTTGCAATAGTTTTCTTCTGAAGAAGCAAGCCCAGTGTTAACATTAACAATATTTTTATATTGTCATTATATATGGTTCTGTTACAAGGAAAGACTTGAGGACTTGGTGTAAGGTAATTAATACTGAAGCCTCTTCTAAGGTATTAGTAGCAAGGAAATTTTGTGCACTTATTAAAGTGCAAAATTATTCAAAGTTGTGATAATGATAATCGCATCGAATAATTATAATGATAAGCTATAGAAGCCGTGATTGAAATTAGATGTTTTTCTGCTTTCATTATTTTACTCAGAAATGTAACAAAATATACCACAAATTTGAAAATATAACAAAATTTTTCGAAATAATGACCACTTCTCGCACTGAAGACATTTTTGAATTTGCATGTTTCTTACATAATAGGAAGTGTAAGGTTGTCAGGAGTTGATCCACAAGAAGAAGCAATACACTCCGCGAATGCTTACTAAGCGGGTAAAGCAGAACTCACTAACCACCAACAGCCATTCCCACCAACTGCAGCTCTACCAACACTTTCCAATATGCCTTATATCACTCGCTCAGCGGCAGTCTGGCTTGCAGGCTGCTGCAAGTGAGTCTTTCTCTCGTGTAAACATGAGCTCCGCAATACCACATGTTTACTGAGCCAGCAGCTCTGGTTTAGTGTAAGTGAATGTAAATATGCGCCGATTTTCATCGAATCTTTGTAACCAGCGGAATGTAAATAATCTGTGTTATCCTGTTGATTCATATATTTATTTTAAACTGTTTATCGGATGATATTATATTGGCAAGCTTGTCAAATGGCTTATTGATGACAGATGAAACCTATCCTGATATTTTCCTTCCTGATATTGAATTGTGTGTGTGACTAATATTGTTTCCTCATAGTAGCCTAGTGACTATATTTCTTATATTTTTACATAGATTTATTATTATTATTATTATTATTATTATTATTATTATTATTATTATTATTATTATTATTATTATTATTATATTTGCTAAGCCTTAGCTACCCGGGTAGTAAAGGCGGCTACAGTGAAGATAGTGTAGGGAAGATATCTCCTTGGCCACCCGAGTAACGCAGGGTACCCCCCCCTTTAATATAGTATATATAATACTGATCCACGGAACCTCATATATGAGATATATAACAAGTGAGCAATGTGTACACAGGGAGACAGACTACCATGATATTAAGTCGGTGTGACTGGTGGGGCTTCAAGTGGGCTTCACGTCTCTTCTGTCACTGTTTCCTCGGGAAGTTCCAGTTATCACTCCTCAAAGGTTGAGATGTAACAAAGAGCCTAGCCATCTATAAGTATAGCACAAGACTGCCTTACCATGCCTGCCTCCAGTGGTTACAGAGGCATCACCTAGCCTACCAAGTTGGAATTTTAAATAAAACTTTATTTATGATTCCCAATTTTTCGTAAAAAATTGTCCAAGATGGAAACCCAGAGTTTAAGGAAATTCTATATCTCTCACTTTGTGCACATACACACACACACACACACACACACACACACTCACACACACACACACACACACACACACACACACACACACACACACTCACACACACACACACATACCTAGGGGCTGGCTGGCTGAGTGGACAGCGCTCTAGACTCGTGGACCTAGGGACCAGGATTCGATCCCGGCAGCCGGCGGAAAAAAAATGGACAGTTTCCTTCACCCTGATGCTCCTGTTACCTAGCAGTAAATAGATACCTGGGAGTTAGACAGCTGCTACGGGCTGCTTTCTGGGGATGTGTGGGGGGTGTGGAAAAAAACATTAGTTAGTAGTTAGTAGCAGTTGATTGATTGACAGTTGAGAGGCGGGCCGAAAGTGCAGAGCTCAACCCCCGCAAGCACAACTAGGTAATACAACTAGGTGAATACACACACACGTGCGCACACACACGTGCATACACACATACGTGCTTTCACGCATACACACACACACACGTGTGTGTGCGCCAGGGGTTAATTATATTATGCAACATATTACCCATACGGTTTTGTTTAATCTTACGTATTTCAATATCCTAGTTCTGCACATCTTTACCGTTGATTACAGGGTGTTAGCTCCTGAATAATTGAGTCAAAATTAATCAATCACGTGCTCTCTGCAAATCTGCGACAATGACGTCATACCGGCTTTTCGAAGTCAACGGAAGTATTTTGTAACGTAATAATTATCTTTAAAATGATTATGTTGTATAGAGTTGTTCAGTAAACAAATTGTATCGTTTGCTTTCTTATTTAACATATTAAAATAATTAAATTAAAGGGAAAATTATTGACATTATATGGGATTAAATGATAGGACGGTTTTAAATATTGCGCATTTGGCAACAGTTGAACTTTGCGCGCGCAATATTGATCGTGGCGTTGCGAGGGCTGGCGTGTGCTTAGCGCTCCACCATACTCAATGTTATATTCCAATTATTCTTATATTTGGATAATATGCAATTTTTGGAGGACTAAGTCACACTGAAAATTATAGGCACATCTGCCATTCAAGTAAGAATCCGGTGACAAGCTCACTGAACTACAGGCAAGCAGGGATGAAGGTGTCCTGAATGAAGGATTCCAATTCCATCAGATTTACATATATTTTTCTATTTAATCAAGAAAACACAGCCTATTAACGTTTTCAGATAATAAAAACAGATATAACACACAGATATGACATCAATGAGATGTATTTCTATCGTAATCATCCGCTAAAAATCGGGAAACGTTAAATTGTTGGTGTTGTGGCAGCTGTGGAGACCGTCGGCGGGAGGCTCCGGCCACCAGTTGTCAGTGACCCGCCGGGGACGTGAGTGGCGAGTACGGCGCTCCTCCTCTCACTGCCTTGGAATACATACGTGCTTTCTCGTTCTAAACCTGTGACAGTCCTTGTTCTTAGTTGGACTAGGGTCAAATAACGTGTTTTGCTAAGAAAATAATTTTGTAAGGCTTGTATAGTTCGTTTTACGGCGTAATATTGGTGGGCTCAAGGGTCGCGCCTCCACGTTGTCACTGGAAGACAGCAACACTTGCATTTGGGTTCCTTTTTTTTGAAGAGTTGAAACAGCAGGTGTGAGTTTTTCCAAGTAGCTCATTAGTAAGGGGATGTAATATATCATGTTAGAGAGTTAATGGTTGGAGGGTAAGAGAGCGTGGAGTAGAGGAAGGAACAGGTCGTCTTTAACACGCTGTGTCCGGTGCCACGATAACTTGTCTTAGACGTGTAAGTCGGCTGCTTTGTGACTGCTTTAGTAGCCTTAGGCGCCACTAACATACACTTTTCCTAAATTAGCCTTGCGCCTTAATCTAGTTTCTTAATTTGACTAATACGACGAGTGTCTTAATAGCCTCCCCCCCCCCCATTGACGTAACGAGCATCATTACAGAGACTAGTCCAGTCTTAAGGTAAAGCCAGCGTCACCTCCTAAGAACACTTGCCGAACTTATTGGTTGTTGGCGTGTTGTGAGCCACTACTAACTACGGACTAACACCTAACCACTAATTATCACCATGAGAGGCTACGCAGAGATGTCTACTGCCATACTTATTGCTTTAACGTTGCTGTGTCAAGGTAAGTCTACTCTTGTTGCTTTGTATATAATGTCTAACCCTTATATTATGTGCCACAAAGTTGTGTCTTGTATGAGATAAACTTCTTGCTTTGCTTGACTCCATTAGGCTACGAGGAAATGTATTTAATAATCTAATGTGCTTAAAATTAATGGGGAGATTTTACCCATGATCACCGCATGTGTTAACTGTCCTTGCGTGCATGCATGCATGCACTATTGGCATACCCTCATGCAAGGAACGGACAGAAGGAGCCCCTAGGAATCCTAACTACCTCTCAATGGAACTGTGAGGAAGAATATATACTCAAATCTCGCGGCCGAATGAGTCTTAGCTCGGCAGTGGACGGAACTACCTACATTAAGCCTTGTTAAGAGGGTCTAGGGCGCGCGTGAGAACACTTTACATTATGAATGAAACCCCGCCCTGTCTGCCATGCTGGGCCAGTCCTGGGGGAAAGAGGTTGCTGTAAATGTATCGTGGGGGTGAGAGGGGGGTGGCTGCTGTGAAATGGGGGCAAGGGAGCTGTGAATGTAGCGTGGGAGACAGCTGTGAATGTGACGTGGGGGTTGGGAGCTGTGAAGTGGGCGCAGGGGAGCTGTGAATGTAACGTGGGAGACAACTATGAATGGGACATGGGGGGCAGGGGAGCTGTGAATGTAGAGGAGGAGACAGCAGTGAAAGTGACACGAGGGACGGGAGCAGTGAGTGTGATGGGTGTCAGCAGTGAAGGCGAGAGGGCTGCGTGTGTGTAACAGGGGAGGGGCATGCAAGAATCTGAGGCAGGGTGTAGAGCTTTATGCATACGGTAATATACGGGGTTTTAACGCTTATACGTTAGTATTAGTTAAGCTCTGATACTTTGAATTCGAAATTCATTTGTGGCTGTATGTTTGTGTAGGCCTACTCTTGAAGTAGTAATTTTTTGTTTTGTTAAATGTTTAACATACGAGCATCAGGTAATTTAGTAATTGTTTTGTTTAGGCATGTCTACATTAATTAATTTTATTTTAGACATTTTCGCATTTTTATAACATTTTTCGTAGTTGCAGATTATTAGAAAATGATAGTTCTTGTATTAGTGTATATAATATATATAGTTGATCCCCAGCCAAGTTAGATGAATGGCGGATTTATGCATTCATTGTAATCCATTGTGTAATGGATGTACTCTGCTTCGTCTAGTATCCTAGCAGCAGTGTCCAGGCAGGCGTTATTCAGCTGCAGAATAATAATGTTTAGGATTATTCATGCGGTGATGGTTTATGTATAGTGACGGAGACACTATACAATTATTGTAAAATTACCATTGTAATTGCATTTTGATATTAAATATAAAAGTTAACAATATGTAGTTGTGTAAGTAGTGTTGTGCAAATTTGGAGTAGCTTGTTATGAAATTGCACGAAGAATTATGTGAAACACATGACTTCCGTGTTTTTGACCAATTATTTAAAGTTAAAAACTAATGGATTTATGCTGATAATTTTTATGTCGATACTGGTAGGACAAAACATCCAATGCGCCTCATGGTAAAGGTCTAGCCTAAAGAATTCAAACAAAGGAAAAAAAATCGCGTTGTTTCTGATGTATTGTAATCGTAATTATATATCCTACACAATTCACATGCCTGGTCAGGCGTGTGAAAGGAGGGGTCGAAGGGAACTAAGCGAGTGAACAATAAAACAAGAAGGGGGTCAAGTAGTCTGGAAAACTCTTTAGAATGACGTGGGAGAGAAATGGTTTGTAAGGTTTCCTTCTGTTGCCGACGCTGCTTTACAGTTGAGTTTAAAATGTGAACTGTTTCGTCATTAAATAGATGTTTAATAATGTCGCAAATTTATACTCTGCAGATGCTTGCATAAAATACAATTGTCAAAACCTGCTACCTATTTTGAGTGGTATTTTCGTCTATGTTCATTGCAAAATAACCATTTATGTCTGGTTTTATAGTGAAACTGCAGACGATTTTGTTTATAATGCATGAATCGGTGAAACTTTGGGCGTGAGTCACTCAAAAAGTTTGGAGAGTTCTAAAAATGATTGAGAGTCATGAACAGATCAATAGAGACGAGAGCCAAGACTAGGCCCGGGGGGGGGGGGGAAGGGGGAGGGAGGGAGGGAGGGAGGAGGGGTGATCAAGGATTGGAGGGGTGAGACATGTCCCTGGGAGGGGAGAAGATTGGGTGAACAAGATAGAGGGCTGAGATTAGGGGCCCCTTGAGCGAGAGGATTTTAGAAAGATATAATAGGCAAGTTTGGAGGAATAAGATAAAGAAGGAATTAGAGTGGAAATTTGTGAGTTTGTATTGGATGGGATAATGTAAGTAGAATGGACGCACTTGAAAGGAGGGGAGGGAGTTAGCGAGCATAATTGAATGTTGGGGGTACACGGTTGAGTGGGAATCAGGGAGCAGTTGGTATGGATGAAAGGGGCATGGAATTAGAGGACTGTGGAATGGGTAAGGAAAGAGGTCGTGTATGTATTGTGTGTGAATTAAGGATAATTTAGTCAACGTTAAAGATAGGGTAGAGTAAACTGAAGCAAGAGACCCAGTTATACATGACAATGTCAGACCACGAAGCAAGGATTAAGACAGGAATTTCCTTAAGTACTTTCTTATTTAATAATATATCTTCAGAAGGAGATACTTCAAAAGTATCCTTCTGAAGATGTATTATTAAATATGAAATTTGTCTTAATACTTCCTTCGTGGTCTGACATTGTCACATTGTTAATTTCGTCATGATTTACACACACACACATATATATATATATATATATATATATATATATATATATATATATATATATATATATATATATATATATATATATATATATATATATATATATATATATATATATATATGCAATGAAATCTCAATAGTATGATATATCAATGAAAATTATTTTGAGCCAATAGAGAGACTTAAACTCGTGCTCTGGTGATTCCCAGACGCCTGCCCTAACCAACTCAGCCACGATGGTACGTAAGTCGACCACCCCAGAACTCTACTGAGTTCTCTGGAAGATTCTGGAGGCCCCAAACCGGAGCCCAACCAAGGTTTTACAGTCAACTTTAAATGTAAGGCTTACTGTACACTAACTGAACTAACTGCATTACAACTGGTTATTAGTACAATAAAAACACTAGAGGATGAGTTATTATGTGATTCAAAGCCCGTATCTGTAAAAATATGTATCAGGGTCGATGTCGACTGATATTTTACCTATACCACAGTTGTAGGTTCGATGCAACTTATATCGGTACACATCAAATATACTTATATTATGTAACAGCAGAACTGTATTATCGAAATAATGCTATAGATGTGTTATCAGATGAAAGTATTTGCGTAGCCTATTAAACCCAATGGGGCCAGATTCACGCAGTTACGCAATCACTATGAACTTGTACACCTTTTCTCAATTTTTGGCGGCTTTGTTTACAATTTTGACTGTTTACAATTTAACTGTTTACAACAGTTAATGAGCGCCGAAGCTCCAGAAGGCTGTTTATAACAATAACAACAGTTGATTGGGAAGTTTTCATGCGTGTAAACTGTTTAATAAATGTAACCAAAGCCATCAAAGATTGAGGAAAGATGTACACGTTCGTAAGTACTTTCGTAACTGCTTCGGGAATCTGGCCCCTGGCCCTCCCGGACTGAATGACTGTCGCATTGCAACAAATTCGTGGAGCTGCGGGTGTTACGTGAAGATTCAGCTTACAAGATATGCTTTTAGCTGCAGGTTTATACTTTTTTGAGGTTGTAATATGATTATTGATCATTTCCATGGAATATTTACCAATAGCTGTGTTTATTGTATTCTTTTACAAACATTATAAATTTCCTCGTGTCTTTTCACTCATTTTTTACAAACCCATCCTTCTGACTATGACTGTTTTCTTGTAAATTTCTATGCACTTTAGAGTATGTTGTAATGTCATTGTGTTCAGCATAGTGTTCATATATATATATATATATATATATATATATATATATATATATATATATGATATGAACAAACTATTCATATTTATATATATATAAAACTATATATTATATATATATATATATATATATATATATATATATATATATATATATATATATATATATATATATATATATATATATATATATAAATATATATATATATATATATATATATATATATATATATATATATATATATATATATATATATATATATATATATATATATAATGTATGGCGGGAAACTGGCCGGGTAGAAGAGTTTGTTCATATTGATTTTTGTGTTTGAATTGGCTGTACTGTACTGGTTATAAAAGCCCCTGCTGAAGTTTTAATGTGGTTTGACTAATTCATAACAGCAGTACCGCCCCATAACGCGGTACTGTAGGCAAACTGGCAACCATGCAAATTAAAGTGATTGGCGATCGATTTAATTACTGATGCGCAACACGAACGCATTATAGGGGAAACGAGCGCCCTATTGTTTGTGCCTAATTGTGTTTATTAATACTTTGAAGTTAATTTTGCATTGTATAATGGGCAGCTGCAGTGTAAGCTACGGTAGTTTTATCTGGAGGAAATTGAGTATGGGTACATTTCAACTAGTAATTGCAGATTATTATAATTTCTTAATAAGTTGTGTGTCAGAGACAAAATATTATTAGCTCAAGTCTGCTGCAACGAATAATAATTAAACCAATTAGGGTAGCCAGCTACGTTTTTCTGAAAAAGCCTAATAATAATAAAATAATGATGCTACACAAATAGGTTTATATAATTTTTTTGATATAATCGTTGCTAGCCTAAGATTTTTTACGAAATGCAGTTAGACAAATTATTATTTTTAGTAATTTGGCCCAGAGCAAGTGGTAGTAACACCGTATAGGGTAGTTTAACCGAAAGCCCGTATTAAAAAGTAATAGTGGCCGTTATATAGGCATTGCGTTGTTGAACAAATATCTTGTAGCAGTCTTACGGTATTTGGAAGGGGGGGGG